AGAAGGGAGCCGGCGGCGCGGGGAGCCCCTCGGTGCTTGACAAAGGGAGAGGCAGGGCAGCGCGGGGACCCGGCGGAGCGGGCCAGGCCGGGCCGCCCCCAGGACCCCCCCGCTGCCGGGGCCCCGCCGCTCCCAGGAGGCGCCCGGCGGAGCGGTACCGGCCGGAAGCTGCCGGGCCCTTCCCCGGATGTGGCGGCCCTCACGTGATCCCGCCAGGCCCAATCCCCCTCCCGCGCTCACTCACCGGGGGCGGAATACCTGCCCTTACCGGAAACGCCGCTGCCGTAAAGCGCCCGACGCGCCTTACGGCCCCACGACAAACCGTTCCGCGGCCGGACGGAGGAGGATTTAAGGGAAAGAGGGCGGGGTCGGAGGAAGGGGGAGGCGGGGCCGAAAGGGGGCGGGGCCTTGTCGGCGGGGAGCCAACGGGGAAGGGAAACGGAGGGGCGGAGCGGGGGGGAACTTGGGGGAAAGGGGCGGGGCCAATAGGGGCGGTTCCACCCGCCCAGGGAGGGCAGCGGGGCAGGGGCCTGGGCCGGAGCGGGGGACGGGCAAGAGCTGAGGCGTTTCGGTGTCCCGGAGCGCTTTGGGAAGCGTCGGTGCCGGCGAAGGCAGCTGGCAGCCGCAGTTTGGGCGCGGAACCTGCCTGGGGTTGAACGCTGACTTCGTGGAAGTCCCTACGGCCCTCAGCCCAGCACGGCTCCGGTGGTCTCGCTCGTAGAAAAAAAAAAAACCACATAAAATCCCAACCTGCCACCCCACGCTTGGCGTTTTTTACGAAATACCCCGCCAATGTGCGGGTGGCTCAGTTCCCAGACCAGCCGGCCGTGGCAGAGGTACAGCCTGGCAGCACAGTCGTGTCCCCCCCGCTGAGCCCTCCTCCACGCTGGGTCACCACTCCGAATTTTTGGTTTTGGGGAGCGCAGCGGGTGCAGGGAGGCAGCTCTGCTTGCCAGCGGAGGCTCAGCAGCACACCAAGGATCCGAGTTACCGTTCCTCTTTCTCCCCACCCGAGCAGCTCCAAGGTCCAGTCTTGAGGTCAAGCATCTTCCTCACACCCCTCTCAGAAACACTTCAGCCCCTTTCTCCCCACATGCTCAAATCCTCATCTTTAGTGGCATCAGTGTTTGGTTACGTTACACACCGTTATGTGCTGGGTTTGGACGTTTCCAAGCCTGAACGTCCCTGTTACCGGTGTGGGAAGGAGCTTTCGCAGCCCCCTCCAGCCCTTCGCCAGCCCCCACACAGATAACTCGTTGTCTTTCATCTGCTGCTTTATTATTCCTGCTCTCAGGTTCCCCAGTGCTTTGGCTGAACCTCTGTGATAATTAGGGCTCCTGATTTCCAGGCTCTGCTGCCTGCACAGAGGACGGGGCAGAAGCAAACATGCCGATGCAACCCCCTGTTTTGGGCTATATCCGTTTTTTCTTCCAAGCATGAGTCCCAGCCTGTGCTGCAATCTGAGCTTCCCTTAGAGTCATAGAATCACAGAATGTTTTGGGTGGGAAGGGACCTTTCAACGTCATCTAATCCAACCCCCTGCCATAAGCAGGGACATCTTCAGCCAGATCAGGTTGCTCAGAGCCCCATCCAACCTGACCCTGAATGTTTTTGGGGATGGGGCATCGACCACCTCTCTGGGCAACCTGGGCCAGTGTCGCACCACCCTCACAGTGAAGAACTTTACATCTCATCTAAATCTACCCTCTTTCAGTTTAAAGCCATTACCCCTTGTCCTGTGTCGTGGTTTAACCCCAGCCAGCAACTAAACACCACGCAGCCGCTCACTCACTCCCCCCCCCACCCAGTGGGATGGGGGAGAAAATCGGAAAAAGAAGTAAAACTTGTGGGTTGAGATAAGAACGGTTTAATAGAACAGAAAAGAAGAAACTAATAATGATAATGATAACACTAATAAAATGACAATAGTAGTAATAAAAGGATTGGAATGTACAAATGTTGTGCAGGGCAACTGCTCACCACCCGCCGACCGACACCCAGCCAGTCCCCCAGCGGCGAATCCCTGCCCCCCACTTCCCAGTTCCTAAACTAGATGGGACGTCCCACGGTATGGAATACACTGTTGGCCAGTTTGGGTCAGGTGCCCTGGCTGTGTCCTGTGCCAACTTCTTGTGCCCCTCCAGCTTTCTCGCTGGCTGGGCAAGAGAAGCTGAAAAATCCTTGACTTTAGTCTAAACGCTACTTAACAACAACTGAAAACATCAGTGTTATCAACTCAAAACACAGCACCGTACCAGCTACTAGGAAGACAGTTAACTCTATCCCAGCTGAAACCAGGACATCCTGTCACTACAGGCCCTTGTAAAAAGTCCCTCACAAGCTTTCCTGTAGGCCCCCTTTAGGTACTGGCAGGCTGCTATAAGGTCTGCCTGGAGCCTTCTCTTTTCCAGGCTGAACCACCCCAACTCTCTCAGCCTGTCCTCATAGGGGAGGTGTTCCAGCCCTCTGACCATTTCTGTGTCCCTCCTCTGGACCCACTCCAACAGGTCCATGTCTGTCCTGTGCTGAGGACCCCAGAGCTGGACGCAGGACTCCAGGTGGGGTCTCACCCGATCGGAGCAGAGGGGCAGAATCCCCTCCCTTGACCTGCTGGCCACGCTGCTTTGGATGCAGCCCAGGATACGGTTGGCTTTCTGGGCTGTGAGTGCACATTGCTGGCTCATGTCCTTATGCCTACGCTCTTTGGAGAGGGCAGACCCCTCCAGTTATACCATCCTGTGCATCATCCCTAAACTTTTCCCTTACCAAAGGGGACAGCTGTGGACTTTAGCTGCTCCTTTACAGCATGGTACACCCCATGACACTGCCAGCATCCTACAGCTGGTGGTGAGGATGCAGACAGTCAAGTGTGCATAAGCTCAAGTGCTTTTCCCTGGGTTATTACTGTAAAGTGCATCCCTGTTAGGGAAGTCAGAGAGCTTGGGCACAGCTGAAACTCAAATGTCTGCACTGAATTTGTTGGCAGAGGTGCGGGCAGGGATGTGGTCTGCAGTAGCTAGCGCTGACCCAGGCAATGCCAGGGAGCAGCTCAGGGGTTGAGCAAACTCTGTTGTGGGGGCCAGGAAAGTCTTAACATTGACATGGCTAGACTAAGCCTGAGGTCCAGAGGGCAGGTCCTGGCATGGGGAGGTTCACTAGCGGGGGGATTCCCCCAAATCAGTAAGTTAGCAAGATCAAAAACCAAATTCAGGGTGGGCAATGCTGATATTTACCTGGAGAGTATCTGTGAGACTGAGAAGGGCTCTCTACAAATCCCTGTGCTTCCAGGCAAAAGCGAACTTCTAAGCAGTGGTAAGGAGATAAAGGACTCCTCATGCTGACAGCAAATACCAGACATCTCCTGAAAAGGGGCTCTGCCGGCTGTGTTGGCCACGGCCGCTCCCCAAAAGGGGACGCTGGACCGGGCAGGTGGATGCGGGCTCTGATGCAGAACCACAGGTCTTGCTCACCTGGAGAAACTCCGATTCCTTAGCCTCCCCCTGCTTTATCTCTGAAGAAGAACAAAGTGTGAAAATCAGGTCATCAGACATTTCTAGGGCTCTCTTTGGAGAAGATGAATAGCTGTTTGGTACCATCCTGCCCCATGACTACTTCAGTGGTGCAAGTTCAAGGTTGTTCAGTCCCTGCATGATGGAAACAGCCTGGAACTATCTGTGCAGATGCAAACAGGCAGCTTTTGATGACAGCCTGTTCTAGGCAATTGCACATGAGAAGGATTGCAGAGGTGTTTAGATACGGTGACCTGAATTTTTATACTCACCTCTGGTGGGGACTTCATTCTGAGTTTGTCCAGGCTGTTACTTGCATGTCGTATTAATGCTGGCAGTTTAGGTGATTTCAATATCTGAGAATTATTTGAAAGTCTAATTAATGACATTTGCTTCTCATAGATGTATGCAAAGGTATTAAGGAAGATTAATTCTCCCGTTACAGCGGTTTGCACTGATTCACATCATCAACCCCTCCAAAAGAGAAGAGGGGTCTCTCCTAGGTTTGGAGCTACCAGGGCATGGGATTCCCATGTGTACCTTAAAATAAAAACCTGTCAACTCTGCTGCTTTCAGTCCAATGCTGAGATGACCTGGAAGTAGCACAGGACTAATCCTCTCTGCATTTTACTGTACAGACTGGGAAGCCTTCGGTATGAATCCAGAGCTAAACACAAACTCCTGTCTTCAGGGCATGAGCAGGACTGTTAAAGTGCTGCTGACCTGTGCAGTTTATCCTGGCTCAAGATGAAAAGCTGCTTTACTGTCCTTCACCATGCACAGTGGTGCTGGAGTTCCCTCTGGGATTGCATAGGGAGGGCCGGTGCTTTGGGGATATCTGCAGCTTCAGGAGAGGAGCCTGGGATCTCCATACATCTCCCTCTGCCTTGCAATCAATTTATGGGTATTAACCATCCTGGACCTCCTCAGAGACACTGCCTGGGCTCTCATGTGTTCACCCCCTCCATCCCCACGGCCCCAGCAGCCCCCGTCCTCATCCTCACGAAGCACCACCAGACCCCACGGACCGAATGACAGCTGCTTTCTCAGTGGGGTGGCCTCCGTTTCGCTGAAAGCGCTGTGGGGAGTTCTATTTATTAAGACCATCCTCAACAGAATCCTAGAATGGTTTGGGTGGGAAGGGGCGTTTAAAGGTCATCTAGTCCAACCCCCCCTGCCATGAGCAGGGACATCTTCAACCAGATCAGGTTGCTCAGAGCCCCGTCCAACCTGACCTTGGATGTTTCTGGGGATGGGGCATGCTCAGCTGAAGAGTGGATGCAAAGGAAAGCAAAGACTTCATCCCCATGGGCAGTCCGGAAACAGCAATGTCGCCCCAGTGAAGGAAAAGGAAAATTTGGGAAGTGGCTGCACACCCTGGGACTAATTATAAACCCAGCACTTCCCCCGCGTTAGTCCTGATGACTCTGCAATCCCCAGGCAATGC